CGCTGTCCCACGCAGCAAATGTAATTTAAGCCGAATTTCCACCATTGAATCCTTTCATCGAGCCCGTAGGCTCTTTTTAAAAATTCCCTATAGACCACGTAAAATAGATGTGACAGTTTCCTGAGACGAAATTCAGCCTTTCTTTTTTTTATATTTTTTGATACTCTCTTTAAAATCTGCCAGATTTAGCTCTTTAGTTACTGCCAAATAAAAAAGCGTTTTTTGCTCAGTGACCTTTGTCGGAGTTCTGAGTAGCCTGCCTGTAACGGTATTCACCCTGAAGTGGGTTGAGCCGGCTAGCAAAATTGGAGTTTCATGGGAATTTGGAATTCATGAAGTAAAGACACCCCAAAGAATACACATGAGAATGATTATAATGGTTTTCCTCAAAGTGCAGGACCATCTTCAACAACGCAGTACCTGGTTTTTTACCTCCGCAGGTTTTAATTCAGATTTTTCCTTCTCCGAGACCAGTTGCTTTCAAGGCTATAATACCCAGTCTGTCCTGTTATTTATCCATAGCTGGAGGGAGAAGAAGAGGATTCATTTTTTTCCCAAGGGTTTTATACGATAATGATAATGGATTCGATATGGAATTCGAACTCGGCTCTCCGATTCCTCAATCCAAGCCGCTATCCATTACTCCACCGTGTCTCGTCGGAAGTGATTTATTCAGACAGTTTCTTCTCAGAAAATGCTGCTTTGTGTAACAGACGCCCGGCAGGATGTTCTCCAAATCACAGTATTGAACTCTTCACGTCTAGGGTTGGCCCTTATATTTCTTACATAATGTCATTAACTTCATTAACGCTCATACAAAACAACTCACAGTAACCTTATTCCTTGACAGTCTGTTGGGTTTGCTAAGATAAGCATATAAAAATAAATAGTCTTTTTCTTTAATATATGTCAAATTCAGGATAAGGGCGATCATGAATAGACCTCCCTTGTAGCACTCAATATGTTTTGTCCTTTTGCTACCTCTCCCAGGTCATGTTTTGTCATCCACTTGCTTATGCCCGCTAGGTATGTCACGCGTTGCTTTTCCTTGTCTCTTTTTCCCACTATTCGACCTGTGAGTGTCAGATTCTCCAAGCCTTCATTTGTCATTACGTGTCGCAGAAATTTCAGCTGCCTCTTCCTGATGTTAAGTATAAGCTTCCACCTTCTTTACATCCTCTTCAAAACCTCATTGTTGCTCACAGGCTCGGTCCATGATATCCTCATAGTATCCTTCTGTAGAACTGTTGTAACCAAGGCAGGGTTACTGAATAGAATGATTAAAGAAGGCTGGTAATGAACAATAATACTTAGGACAAGAACAACACATATAAGATTCGCCAGCGGCGCGTAGAGGAAGTAGTCAACTGCTAGAAGTGAGAAGTGAATTCCACAAGGAATCTCCAACTAGAGGTTATCTACCAATCACCCCATGCGATCAGATGTGGCACAAGGCCGAATTTAATGTAGGGTATTCGAGCTCATAGGCTCGGCCAAAAATTCCCCGTATACCCCGTATAAAACGGGGTCGGGTTGCTGTTTCCCGAGACGAGACTCTGCCCTTCGACATAGCCTCGTCTGGAGATCCTCTCTGCTCGGAGGCAGAGAGTTTACCCTGCACAGCTGGAGACGAATCTTCAACTGCAGGATATCTGCCAACCGCCCCACGCGGTCAGATGTATGTGGCACAAGGTATCCGAGCTTGCAGGTTCGGCCAAATATTCTCCATAGACCCCGTTTGATACGGGGTAGGGTAACTGCGTCCGGAGACGAGACTCTGCCCGTCGACATAGCCTGGTCTGATGATCTTCTCTTCCAGGAGGTAAAGAGTTTAAACAGCATGCTAGAATCGAAACTGCTGACCAACATACAGTATCTACGACTGTATTTATGTGAATGAGGGCATGTCCATTATCGTCCGTAGGTATGCTACAAGAACCATATCTCCGTTGCCTCTAGTCTCTTCTTCATCTTTTAGGAGACCGCCCAACATTCGCTGCCCTAAAGGAGGATAGATGTCACGTAGTATCTCAGTATTCTTTTGTTTGTTACCAAAGAAATCACTTACCCTGAATTGTGAGTCGAATTACTTGTCCTTGTTTGTGTTTTGTGGTTAGAGTAAATATTCTTCTTTAAAAATTTGTGAATTAAATCCTGAGTTCCGTTTCTCAACGTTAGAAAGACACAACAAAATATTGATTTTTCCCCCAGCTGATCTGTCATGATGAAAGCAGATTTTTAGTTGGTCAGCAATATTCTCTAACCTAGTCTAATCAAAATTCATTCAGAACCAAAAAAAAAAAAAAGCGAGGGTGTGGTAGATTTTCATTGCTGACCATCCCGATTTCTGCAAACGGATTCTTTGCTTTTAAGGTTTTTATCATCAAAGACAACGTTAGAGAGAATGCAGTCGAAAGTCTCATAAAAGCCCCCTTTTTTTTCATTCCCGAAGCCAGAGGCAAAAATTCAAAATTAAGTTTTATTGAGGACATGCTGCGAAAATCAAATATTTACTGGATACACGAATGAAATTATCGCTTCTACCTGTTTGAAGCGTCGGAGACTATCTCTTTAAAGATAAAAAAACATGATATAAGCAACATTATGATTTCTATTTTTTTCAATTCTAACCACGTATATATATATATATATATATATATATATATATCTTCGACATATTGTTGCATTACTGGGAATATTTATAGTTCAATTAAAGCAGTTTAAGTTTAAAGTCAGGCCACCCAAGATCAATATTAAGTAACAACAATTGGGTAAACAAAATATTTCTCCCTAAGGAAAATTTCCTGGGCTCTAGGGGGGATCTGAAAAGGGCCGTTGAAGAGACGTTTCTCCTCAGCTGTTTAGACCTTTGCTTATCGTTTTCAGCCACACGCGCAGAAGCGTTCGAATGAAAACTGCGGAAATGCATAAGCAACATCCGATCACACACACACACACACACACACACACACACATATTTTGATAATTATAGATATAGATAATATTATTGTAATAATTTAAACTACTTATTTTTTATTAAAATTTTTATGAAAGATACATATCCAGGAACAGATAGTAAATAGTAAAACGTTGCCAGAGTTATAATGGACAGGAAGTTGTGGAGAGCCATTGTCGCCAACAATCTGGACTCACAATCGGCACTGAAGAATTATCTATGAATAAAAAAAAACATCGAACTCGCATAAACAAACATTTTGAGAAATATATACATGCATATATATATATATATTGTCATCAACAGACTGACTGTTTTGCAGGATCACAGCTCATCAGTTTGGCTAGACGTCCGGTTGCCTCTAGCTAGGATCGAAACATGATTGACGCCAGATCTTATTATTCTACCACTAAGCCATTGGCGCACGGCAGGGAAGAAGGTGAATTTAAGCGTATTTATTTTTAGATAAACACACAGTGACTGAGAGAAAACGATTCGATTTGTCGAAGAGTCATGCATTATGTGCATAATAGTCATTTTTAAAAATCCACACTCCTCCCCATATATATCAACTAAAATAATTTTTCATATATATATATATATATATATATATATATATATATATATATATATATATATATATATATATGTAAGCAAATATATGGATATAAATCCGACAGTATGAAAGAAAAATACAGAAAAAACAAAATTCTGAATATGCATTATTAATGTTAAAATAAAGTCGACGTCGGACGTTTCGGTCTATTTAAGACCATCTTCATGGACATTTTCATTTAAACATAATTAACATTATAACTTATAAGTTATCTGTTTGAATTAGTTGGGTTCTTATGTCCATCGTCTTTTGTGTTAAATTGTTTATTTTAACATTAATAATGCATATTCAGAATTTTGTTTTTTTCTGTTTTTTTTTAATATATATATATATATATATATATATATATATATATATATATATATATATATATTAATGTTACTGATAAGAAACAGATGGAAGCATATGATCAGATCATGCAAAATTAAAGGTAGTACAGATTTTTTACCTTTTTGCGTTAACTTTATGAGCAGTACACTTTAGATGTACGACTTCGAAGGAAACGGTGGAAATAAGACTTTACTTTTGCACATTAAAGCGTTCGATAGCTTTTATGTTATCTCTTACAAACTCGTAGATACAAACACAGACAGAATTACGTCCTTGGTAAGACGATAAATTACATCTTACAATAAGGCCTCTAATCAGAAGGTTCTGAAGAGCGTAGAACCACTTCTTAATTGCTGGTGTTCCCAGGGCCACTCTGACCCGTGGTGGTAGCACCTGTTAGGCCACCAGTTATGGGCAAAGAATTAACCCCGAAACTTGGGCCAAAGCATTATAAAAGTGTATAGGTTTTAATACAAGCAATGCATCTTTGTAAAAAAATATATTACCAGCAATACTTTTTGGAAAAAAATTACCGACAATAAAAATGTTGTCGGCATTAAAATAACCATTGAGGTTGATATTTTTAAAACAAAACAAAACAAACCAATATATAATGAGCTAGCTAGCTAGCTAGCTAGATAGATATGAATAGATTGAGATAGATAGATAGATAGATAGATAGATAGATAGATTACCAGCAATAAAAATTTTGTTTAAATGAAATAACCCATTTAGATTGATAAACCGTAAAATAGATCAAGCAAAATCAGACCAGGCAGAATTATGTCTCTCCACCGCACTGTCTCTCTGCATATATATATATATATATATATATAATAATCTCTCACCATTCTGTGTGTGTGTACATATATATTCACCTTACTCATCAGTAGTAATAAGCTAATTTTTATATATATATATATATATATATATATATATATATATATATATATATATATATATATGATTATATATATATATATATATATATAAGTGTGTGTGTGTGTGTGTGTGTGTGGATGCGTACGTGTGTGTGTGTATGTATAAGAAATTATAGTTACGTGATTTGTTTAGTGATGATCGAATCTGACGTAATTTTTAGTTGAATTTTGTTCTGAATATAGACAGATAATAAAAGGATAGATAGATAGATAGATAGATAGATGATAGATAGATATAAATATAATGTAAATTTTTTTTTATTAGATTATATAAAATATAGATAGATAGATAGATAGATTTTAATATTCCATTTTTTAAATTTTTCAAGCATAACTAAAATCAGCAATAGATTTATAGATAATTTAGATGCAAATATGATATAGAGATATCTATTATACTGATTGTCAGATTTTTAGATGATAAATAGATATGATTTGGTATATTATCACGGACGTTATTTGAAAAATATAGATGAATTTTATTTATATTGTTTAAAGAATATTGAAATTTTCGGTTTCCAATAGATTTTTACATTGAATAAATAAAAGTTTTTTAATATTCAATGTCCAACATATGAAAAAATTGAGATAGATAGATATATAGATAGATTTTGATAAATAGATATAGATAGATAATAGTAATAATTAATGAAAAGAATTCTTGGGATAGATTCCATAGACATTTAGATAGAAATTTATGGATAAATAGATAAAAAATAGATATAAAGATGATAGAATGTAATAGATAGATAAATAGATTGGTTTTTGGTCCATTATAGATATTAGAAATATTTTTATATATATATATATATATATATATATATATATATATATATATATATTATATCTATATATTTTATATAGATAGATAGATAGATAGATAGATAGATATGAAAAGACTGGGATTTCAATTCTAATCATTCTATCTATCTAATATATATATATATATATAATATATATATATATCGTATAGATAATAGATAGATAGATACTCTATAAATATCTAGAGAGAACATGTAAATAGTCCGTGATAGATTTGAATGGTGTTAGCTAATTATATAGATATTTAATATTATATATCTGGTTATGGAAATAATATGTATATAAAATTGTGTATGTTACCGTTTTATGATACGTTTAAACAATGAAAAATTATACAAAATAATCTTGTGTCGAATGTACATAAATTTCCACATTTTCGACGTTGTATTTTTGATTGACGGATCGACGTAAAGCAACTTTAATTCATTAATTTCATGGAAAATTTTGAATAAATCTAATGCAGAAGACAAACGAAAGTAAAAATTTTGCCGGACATAAATAAAAAACGTTATCCATTTGAATAAAAAGGGAAAACGAAAAAAGCTGCCGTCTTTTCTAGAATCAAACATAACGAACCCCTTTGTAGCCATTTCTGAAAATGATCGTTTACGTATAAAATATAGTCAAATTCATAATTTTTTCTTTGAAATGGATTACTCTTCGATCCGCCCGTTCGACTGCCTGCGTCCTTCGATTATTTTTAGATTTTTACCGCGTTTTATTTTTTCTGATCGAAAATAATAGTTTTGGTCGAAATTTCGCCGTTTTCTGTGATTTTGATTCCTTATAACCATCCGAAGTCCAATGTTTTATTAAATATGGATAAAATTTCTGCGCTGTACCGGGTTCAGTTCTCGGGTGGCACTTTCTTCCCAATGATTCTTCAAAAAACCAGAATTAACCGTTTTTTAAATACATTTCGTTTTCTAGGATTTTCTTTTGATTAATTTACTTAACCTTGTATGTTTTTTTTTTTATCAACCTTTCATAAAAACTGGATTAAATGCCAAAAATATTTTTAAATCTAAGGAAAACCAGATTTAATCATGATTTTATTACAAATTCTTAAAAAATTATTAGCTTTGAGGGTGAATTGTATTATTTCTTATTCTTTCCCAACGGTATAAACATAAGTAAATTTATAATGAAAACCAAAAAATTGATTTTGGATCTACGAACAAAAAATTACAAATTGTTATTAATTACATCATTTGCACATCCACAATTACGGTAACAATTATTTTTGTTTTAATGCAGTCAAACAAAATAAAATGGCCAGGCTCGACGTTGCTTTTTGTCGGTGATCTTAATTTCAACCGGTGTTCTCTAAATTTTAATAATCAATAACATAGGTCTGTTTTAAAGTCAAAAAGAAAGTTTTATATGTTTCAAAATTTTATTTTCATTTCATTTTTAAATAAATAAATTAAAGATTAAATAATCAAATAAAATAAAATTATTGTTTAAAATTTTAAAAGAAAAATTTTAAGACAAGACAATTTGGATAAAAGGAAGACAATTGGAAAATGTATTTTCTTATTAAATTCTTTGGAATTTTAAATTCTTAAACAAAATAACAATTCGAATAATTTAAATAGTGACAAATTTTTACCTCATCTCATAAATATAGACATTTATTGTATATTTGTTACGTCAATGGTTGGAAAAATATGAAATATAACCCTTTATTTCTATTGCTTTTGAATTCTTCAAAATTCTAGTTCAAAATTTTAATTATCCTAATGGATGTCAGATTTTCAACCAAATAAACAATAAATTCCCTAAACTAATTCAAATCCAACCCAAAACTTCCTTTCTGGCAATTTGAACTCATATAACTTTGTTTTCTGGTTTAAATTTCCCTTTTAAGAATTTATTCCAGAATATTTTTTAAAAAATTTAAACATCAAATATTTGTCTATGAAACTAATAAAGTTACTTTCATTTTAAAATTTTTTTTTTAATCAGATGTTAAAAAAAATCCATTTTTTAAAAATAAATATGTTGTATAAATATGGTTACAAAAGATGATTACAAATGTCCATTTTTTAAATCTTTAGTATATTGATTTTCAAATTTTCATTGATATTTGCTGTAAATAATCTTTTTAATTCTTTGACCTTTAAACATTTCTTAAATATTTGGTATTAAAAATAATCAGACAAAGAAAATTAAAAACTGGAAGATGGATTTTGGTTGTTTTTTTTTTAAAAGATAATGAATTTGGTTAATTTTAAAAGTTATGATTTTCAATAATGAAATAAAAATGATTTATTTAAAAATTCTGGATAAGTGACCAGGTTTCCGAAAAAAAAAAATTTAATATTCAATTTGTTTTTCAAATGACTTTTTATTTTAAAAAATCACGAAGATCAGATGTAGATTTTGTTACTTAATTTTCATTCGTTTGTAGAATCCTATACCAATATCAAAAGGAATCCTGCTTTATAAAATACCAAATTTTTTTCCCTTTTTTGTCTGAACTATTTTGGTTGCTTTCGGAATCCAAGATGATAGATTGAAATGCTTTATTAACGGCTTTTTGTACCATCTTGTTATTTATTTGTCTGGTCTAAAGGATTTTTCTACATTTCTTTTATCCCTTGCTGTTTTTTTTTATATTTCGATGACATTGATTTAATGGCTTTTAAATTAAAATAAACTTTTTTTTTTAAATAATTCACGTGAAAAATTCTACTAATTTTTTATTTTACCCTATGCTTTTAATGCATCAATGTATCTCAAAACAAAAAAAATTTAATATCCATTCCATTTAGCGTCTTCGAATAGCTGTCGAAGATGGCGGAGTTTGTGGAGGACGTTGTATTTACAAAATAAAATTAATGGGGGTAAATGTTTAACCCTTTTTTGAATCCAGTTATTTATAAATTTTCTTCATAATTTGGAAAAAAAATTTATTTCAAATTTTTAAAAAATTTATTTCTTTTAATAAATAACATATTTGCACTATTTTTTTTATCTGGGGTTTATATCAAAATATCATATAAAAGAATTTCTATTTCTTTATCTAAAAAAAAATGATAAAAAATTTATATCAATAAAAAAAAAATAAATTAATCAGGTTAAATTTCTCAAAATAATTTATTATTCTGCTAATTCAATTTAGATAAAAAAAAGACAATTGGAAAATGTTTCTATTTCTTAAAAATGCTTTGTTTTTTTTCGTTTTCAATCTGATTTTATCAAGACAAAAGTTAAAAATGTAATGTAATAAATTTAAATAAATAAATTCAAAATATTCAAAAAAAAAATAATTTATGTTGGTTTTTTTCGGATATTTTAATTTTTTATTTTTCCATTAAATCATTCGCATTCAATATTCTTACCCATTAGATTCTCAAGCGGTCACCGTTTGATCTTTCAGTGCCAGGCTCGACGTTGCTTAATGTCAGTCATCTTTCGAGAACCGGTTTTTAATGAAAGTCATTTTTTAATATTTAATTTTTCTTTTTTTCAAAAAGGTCCATTTTAAATTCCTATAAAAATAATCAATTTCCACAATTTTTCAAAATACATAAATTATTTTTAAATGATTTTTTTTCTTTTTTTTTTTCAAAAAATTTTAAATATAAGAAAATTTGGATAAAATGATTAATATTGGAAAATTTTTTTTAAAAATTTTGACTGGTTTCATTAATCTGACTTTATCAAGGCAAATTGTTTTTTGATTATATAAAATAAAATATCAAAATTTTTTAATCCTTTAAACATTTCCAAAAATATTGTTAATTTTTTTTACTAAGATTTTTTTTGCTAGTTTATTTTCATTTTTCAAATTAACAATTTCCAATAGGAGGCGTATTAACATCAAACTTTCTCAAATTTAATTTACAAGTTTTCTAAAATGTTTTTTTTTTTTATTTTGTCTTCTATGAATCTATCTTTTATTTATTTTCTAAGAAATTAAAATAAGTTATATATATTTTTATTATTTTTTTTTTTTATCCGATTAATGTATTATTATTATTATTATTATTATTATTATTATTTTATTTTTTTGATTTCTGGCGTTTACACATTTCTTTCCGGGTCCCGCCCAGGGACCTAAGGTTAGAAATGGCATCATGGCACTTTCCACTGACAAAAAAAAAAAAAAAAACATAGATAAAGCCCTTCGTAAAGTGTGGGCTGTACTTGTCAGAACAATTTTTTGTATCTCTTTGAGGCATGGACTTCCAGGAATCCCTTCAATTAGTCTACTGGAATCTTTTCCAACCAATCCTAGGGCTCCAACTACAACAGGGATTGTTGATGTTCCCATATGCCACATTTTTGAGATTTCGATTTAAAGGTCCTTGTATTTTGACAGCTTTTTGAATATCTTCAAAGATACATTGCAGTCAGCAGGGACTGCCATATCAATAAGGAGGCACTTTTTTTTGTTTGTGGTCTTTAATAACAATGTCTGGGCGGTTGGCTTTGATTGTTCTGTCAGTGTGTATTGTGTAGTCCCTTAGAATTGTAACAGGTCCTATCTCCGTAATCGGGTCT